CGTCTTCATGTGCAACGTAGTCATTTTAACCGTATTTTCGTCGAAAAAACCACTCTAGTGCTTAAATGGTACAAGATTGAGTCAAACGGACAAAATTTTAGCTCAGAGGGTTCTACTTTCACGAGTTATTCTTTTTCTACCTTTTGGGCTAACCCCTATTTCTTTGTTACCCCCTTTCAACCCCTTAAGGGTGGTTGCCAGGATTTGCCCCAGGCGTTGTCGAGGAGTGACCCCTAAGATACCTTGAATAAAAGTCGTGGGGGCTACGGAAAAAATTTCCATGACAATAGACCATTCCACCGAATGGGGAAGAAGAAAGAAAAGAATCAAAAAGTACCGGAAACAGTAAGAAAAACCGCTATGAAAATTATTTTTGTACACCTCTGTGGCACACCAACAAAGTCCAGAATAATTACCTTGGTCAAGAAAACTAGAAAAAGTGAGCGATTTGATCTGTTTATCGATTCTGTTTCCGGTGCTTTTTGATTCTTTTCTTTCTTCTTCCACAGTCGGTGGAATGGTCTATTGTTGTACTTTTACGGGTAACGTTTGTAATTTACACTGTGAAAAAGATATTCGTCAAGTTACGACAAATTATATAAATTTTGATTACGATATTGATTTGTAAATTTACAAATTATAAAATGTTAGTTTACAACAAATATTGTAATTTTTATTTATGGCTCATGTTGTGGGAATACGACATTTTCCGTAATGCAACGAAAACGGTTGTACAATTAGGAATTCCATAAATCTGAACTATTTACGAAATCTGTTTGTAGATTACATCATTTCTCAGAAAAGGATGTAATTTTTCGTAAATTTACGGCTTTTCCATTGTAAGCAAACTGAAATTTTCATAAATTTACGAGAAATGCGCAAATTTACCATAAAAAGTCGCACATTTACGAGAAATTCTTTTAATTTACGAGAAATGTCGTGAGGCCGGGCTGATGAACTTTACGATTTGGTGTTGTTAGTTTATGAGCAGCATTCGTAAACCTATGACAGCTAAATGTAAAGTTATTGCAAAAACTAGAAACTTATGACTTCTTTCATAATGGCCAGTTACAATATTTTTTTTTCAAAATTACAAACGTGGTTTGTAAAATAACGACATATGTCATGGAAATTGTTTCCGTAACTCTACAACTTTTTTTCACAGTGTATAAACACGTAAATGTTGTTATTCGCTATTATAAAAAAAGCCGTAAGATTCTGATACTCATAGTTTCATAGATGAATGTCATAAATTTGCAAATACCAAACCTTCAAATTCACCAATCAAAGACCTACGACATTTCTCGTAAATTTACGACATTTCTTCTAAATTTATGATATTTTCCGTAAGTTTACGACATTTCTCGTAATTTTATGCAAATTTTCGTATTCCTACATTAGGGTGCTAGTCCGACGTTAAGCCACGACTGTAGCCTTGCATCACTGTTAAAAAAGTTATCGTGATTCTACGAAAGGTTATCGGTTAACTGTCGAAAACTTCGTCCTTAAAAAATTACGCTACATCGTTATTTTACGAATTGCTTTGCAAAATCCAAAGCTTTACCTAAAGTGTATTAAATTTGTGCTTATTTTGTCAAATTTTATGACTGGTATGACCCCTAAATTTGCATTTATTACGAAGCATATTTCTAACTACGAAAATGGACCATGACGAAATATTATTAATATTTTAAATCATCTTTTACAGAGCATTTCGTAACATTATATTTCGTAATATTACGAAAACGTTTTTACAATGGCATTATTGATTACTTTTGTCTCTCAAATGAAAGCTCTATCTTACACGTGTAGGTGATTCACGAACCGGAGGACTGTGCGGGGTACCAGGAGCGCATTCGTCAGGCGGCCGCCACGGACGCCGAGGCTCGTGCTACCCGAGACGCTCTGGACGCATTGCTGGCGGCGGGCGAGGCGATGCGATGCCCGGGCTGTACTGTGGTCATCATGAAGAGGAGCGGCTGCGATGCACTCGTTTGCGCGCAGTGCAAGCTCGAGATATGCTGGGCCACTAAACAGGCGAGGTGGGGCCCAAACGTAAGTGCTGTCCCACCACTTCACTGTTAGAGGGGCAATTCCATGAAAAGGCAGGGATGAAAGAATGTCGGTCAGTTGCGTTATTTATGAGTGACAGAGAGGTCATACTAAATATGAAGGAAATATCAGTGTCCATAGGCAGATGCACTTTTAAGCACATCTTTGCTAGATGCATTAGCAGTTTAGCTTGCAAGGGACAAATTTGCACCTGTTAGATAGACAATTTTTATTTTTGTTCGTGAAAAGAAATTGCCTAAAAGTGCGTAGATTTGGTTAGCTTGTGCACGAAAAAAATCTACGCACTTTTATTCAATTTATTTTTAAAATCCTGCAAACTACATCTGCAAGGACTTTAATTGTCCATAGGAAGTGGAAAGGCAATTGTTTGTGCACATCTAACCCGGTTGCAGATTTGAATCCAGCAAGTGGCGAATGAGAACCTTTTTCTAAGCAATTATTTTTTGTCCATCATTGAGATGTAAATTCCTCACTTGCTAGCTTCAGATCTGCATCCGTTTGAGATGTGCACAATACCGCGTCTTTGTATGGACAGTAAAAGTTCTTTTAGATTTAGTGCGTGCACCATTTAATGCGTTGTGTACCAACTATATATAGTTGTTGCAAAGCGTTCGCGGCACACGGAGAAAAAAGTCAAGCTGTCTCAGTAGGCATCGTTGCTGAATGATTAGCAATTTACTTTATCTCGATAAAAAGAATTGCTTTCAGAGCAATCACTTTAGCTGCCCCCTTGAAAGCGCTTTGCATTTGCAGTGCAGTCTTAGCTATTGCTCTGGCAGCAATTTTTTGTTGCTGACGGAGCAAAAATAATGCCTATAATTTAGAAGCGATTCCAGCTGTGACAGTCTTTTCTCTCCGTGTAGCCTCGCAATTCCGAAGCACTAACATCGCAAGGCGTTAAACAAACCCTGTTTTGTTCCACAGCAAACATTTTCCCGCGAAGTTCCCGGTTTGTTTCCGGAAAAATTTCCGGTTCTCTCTGGCGCATGCGCAGAGCACAAGTTGACGAAGTTTCGTGTTTTACTAATTTCGTATTTTTGATGGTTTGTGAGCCGTGCTGGTAGAAATGAAGCTGGGCCGTCCTCAGATTTGTTTTTTAACGGATTTGCCGTCAAAATTCCCTCAAATACGCGTTCTTTACTTCAAAGTTCTTACATAACCTAAAAATATAAGGCGGGAAAAAGTGAACTGGGAAGTCCTTTCCCGAAATCAACCGGGGACTTCACAGAAAAATGTTTGCTGTATTTGGAATACGAAACTTCGCCATTACGATGGTTTGAAATGCTTCGTAACGTTACATTTCGAGGTTGTTGAACTCCGCAGTTGTGCTCTTGCAAGTGTTCAACATCGTATTCATGCACTTGTAACTGTGCTGCTTTCTCGCTTTACTGATGAAATGTCTTGTTTTAGGGTCGGGGTGACACTTCAGGAGGATGTCGGTGCAATGTGAACAACCGCCGTTGCCATCCCAAATGCAGTAACTGCCACTAAAGACTGCGTTGTGACGACTTCATTCAGTAATATGGGGCACCTGGAAAAATCTTGTTCTTAACAAATGTCATATACCACTATTAGAACTGTTAAAAGAACATAACTATTTTCAAGATGTAAGTAGCTTAAAACAATAAACAAGGAAAACTATGAACACATAATTAATTTTGTGCTAAGTAGGAAACTTGTTCTTTAACCCTCTAAGGCATGAGCCTGGCGAAATTGACCAAAGTTGAATATTCGAGTTGTGCCAACCAAGGGAGTGTCTAAGAAGCATTTTGAGCCCTCGTGGGGTGTTCTAGCATGCACGGTTCAGGGTTGCTGAATGTCGTTTATAAACGACATCATGCCTTAGGGGTCACTCGACATGATTTCCTCTTTTATTTTTAAAGTGGATGAAAATTTCAGGACTTGTCTGCGTTGGATAAACGATCACATTTCACCAAAAAAATGCCAATATTTAAAAATACAAGTGGCCGATAAGGCCCCAAAACAGGTGTTTTTGGGTCATTTTTGAGGGGTGTTTGTAAAAAGAACGATTTAGACGTCAATTCTTCGAGAAATATAGGGTAAACTCAGCATGGTTGTATGCGGAAAAGTGTAAGGATTAAATCTTGTCGAGTAAAAAAATACACTTTTCTCAAAAATAGTGCCTCTAAAACCTGCTCAAAGTCGAACGTCGTTTTAAAACGACCTCATGCCTTAGGGGTCACTCGACTTCATCGAAAATCAAAAAAATGATAACTAATCGACTTTTTTGGTTTCTGATGCATTATTAATGAGTACTGAGTCAATATCGAGTGTCGTAGTTCCGAATATAGAGTGTCGTTGTACTCATTTCAATGTTTCGACCTTCGGAGCCAAAAGCGCACATTAGTGCAAGTTGCCATTTTTGGGGCAATTTTTCCTATGATGCATTCGTTACACGGTCTTCCGAGTTCACGAGCTGCTAGTAAGTGTCCCTGAGATACTTTTGAACATGCATATGTTACTTTAGGGCACAGCGTCTGTGAGTGGAGGCGGTGCCAAAACACCACTTTGAACGACCGTTGTTGTTTTAAAACGACATATGTCGTTTTAAAACGACAAAGACCAAAAAAAACGCGTTTTTACACGCCTGTAGTTTCTTTGGGAGCAGAGCTGAGAGTGTGCCACTTTGTGGCATGACGCCTGGACCCAAATAGGGTAGGACAACCCACATTGCGTAGCTGTGCTGCGGGCCAGTCGCCCTCCCAGGCGCTCCAAAGTGGCGAAACGGCGTTAGCAGGGTCCGGATCAGTAAGTTGGTCGTGTACCTAGTTTTCACCTACGAAAATGTCTGTTGAAGGTGGGATGAGGCCGGGAGAGCCCCCCCCCCCCCCTTCAACACACACAGACACACACACACACACACCTACACACGCGCACACACACACACACGCGGCTGGCGGCAGGCAGGTGCGGCTCGGCACGGCCATCTACCCCACCTAGAGCTAGCCAACCCTTCGTTTTTCGCGTACACCCCGCGGCTGCAGCTGACGCAGCTGACGCAGCTGACGCAGCTGACGCAGCTGACGCAGCTGACGCAGCTGACGCAGCTGACGCAGCTGACGCACCTGGCGCAGGTGCCACAGCCGCGGTAGCTGCCTCGGCCCCGGGGCCTACAGCTCAAAAGTGTTGTTGAGTCCGATGGGTCATATGGCGCCTGCACACAAGTAGCGTAGGCCGACCCGCATTGCGTAGGTGCGTTGCGGGCCAGTCGCCCTCCCAGGCGCTCCGAAGGTGGCCGTTTGAGCATTGCGCGAGTTCCTGAATACGGGCACCTTGCTCGCTGTAAGTACAACGCTTGACCAAAAGTCAAATGCTCGTTTGCGCAGCTGCGGCAAAGGGCGCACGACTCGATCTACATCAGTCGGCGCGGGGTGTTGTTTCTGGCGAGCGAGCTAAGTGTTCCGTGATGCGACATAGTCAGCAAATAAACGAACGACAGCAGGGGCATCTCGATGTAGTGATTCCCCTGCTTATTTACCATTTGCTGAACTTTATCTCTCGCGGCACGAACAATTTTCATTTCTGTATCTGTTTAGAATGGCCAGTTAACTTTGTGTTTGATTTCAGGTTGTATTTCGTGCTGTTGTGTGGCGTTGACTAACTAGATGACCGTGCAGTTCCGACAATGTTTCCCGCATGTAATGAAAGCAGCATCCGTCTCTTTATTTTCAGTAAGTCATGTACGCCATTGTATGCAACTTGTTCTTTCCCAGCTTCCCAATCTCATCAATTGTATGGTTTCATTACAGATGCAGCAGAATTCTCAGTAGCATCAGAGTCTTGAAGTTGGGAGCAGGAGAAAGATGAAATTGTTAACATGTGTAAATTGAGTAAAAACATTTGTTCAGCAATAAATAAACAATTAGTGTTGAGTAATATAAAACATACTTTGTGTTGAGCCCTTATTTAGAAATATATAGAAATATTTAGAAACAAACAAAGACTCAGCGTTGAGTACAAAACATGCATTGTAGATAACATATTTAGAAATATAGATAGATAGAAATAATAATAAGAATATAACCTAACATTCTTAAATGAACACAGGGTGCATAGGAAGAGACTCACTCTCATGAAAAGAAAAATACTGTAATTTAATCATTACACGTAACACCCAGTCTAACACATATTTTCAATGGGGTATTTCACCCGACTCAAACCGAATCCAAAGAAGCCAATCAGCGTGCCAGGCAAGAAAGAGTTAAGAAACAACTGCTGTTCTTCTTTGAATGCGTCAAGCGTCAAGTAAAATGCCCCATTGAAAATATGTGTTAGAACTGGATTCAGATTAATTGTAAGAAACTAGAAACTAACACTCCAATAAATAGATATTATTACATTACATTAGCAAAAAATAATAGCACATTTCTTTGATTGTGGGGAAAGCTTCTCCAATTCTTTCTTCTAGGAGGAGGAAAAAGTCATTCTGTTTCAGTTTCATCCATTTTCAAGTGAAACTTTGAAAAACACTGACGAGTGGGCACAAAGCAAAGGCTTACTTCGCATCGGACACACAGTACTTTGGTGTGACCCATTTTGCAGTATTTGCACCTTTTTTGCATGTTCTGAAAACTAGGTAGGTGATGATGGCCATCATACCTCACAGTGTCACTTGGCCTGTAACTTCTCGGGCGCTTAATAATGGTTTCAGAACGAATCCTGGCACCTGTCGTGCTTTTGCCACTATCAGCCCGTAAACTTGAGCTTAAAGCTAGTTTGAATTGTTTTAAATTCATATCACATTTCACTTTCAACATAGTGGCATCTCTTCTGTAGATAAGCCACGAATTGATAGCAGATAAATCAAGCATGTAGGTTATTAGAGTCATGTACCACCTCCTTCCTCTATAAGGGGTACGGTATAGCTCAGCAAACATGTCATGGAGATCGACACCACCCATATATCTATTATACATTTGCACTGCATGAGGTATGGGGAATTGTCCTCTAACTTTTGTTTTTTTGTCATATCTGAAAATTAATTTAGGAAATGTTAGTTTTCATAGATAAATTGAACACACAGGAATGCAGAAATTACGTAAATATTGTATGGTACCTTTCAACATTGCCGAGAGGTTCAACACCTGTTAGTGTTGAGACAACATGAACGGGTTTGTTGTCAAGCCATTTTATGACTTGAACACCATCTTTCACTTTGGTATCATAATAGCCTCTACCTTCTTGAGTGAGTTCCTCGTCAGTTTTTAGAGGACATTTGTCATTTCGATTTTTTCGAATTGTACCAACAGATCTAAGCTTGAACTTGGCCATCAAGTATCTTGATAACTTTACACTAGAAAAGAAATTATCAAAGTATATTGCCTTTTCTTGCCTGTCTTTTAGGCACAGTGATCCTGACATCATCTTCAGAACCAGCTGATTCGTCAGCAGCATCCATCTCTGGGACTAGTGGATCTTTCAATAGAGCGGGATCCCATTCAAGTTGATCATCACAAAGGGAAATCTCTGATTCAAGTTGATCATCACAAAGGGAAATCTCTGATTCAGAGTCAGAATCATACAGTAAAGGTTGATTGCTTGTTGTTCGAAACTCATAACGTGAGCTCCCAGCATCTAACTGGTCATCCCACTCACTCTGAAATGTAGACCCAACACGACTCTGAAAACAAGAGGCAAAATAGAATTAACAAAGTTTTGTATGAAAGAAACAAAGTAAATGTAAAGCTCTATCTAATTTATAAATTACCTTACTAGTGGAAAGTTTTAACTTTTTCCTAAACAAGGGCTTATTTGCATGATTATCAGTCGCTGGGGTAGTTGGAGGGCTACTGTAATCATAGACTAGTTGATCCTGTTCTTCAAACCACTCTTTAATTGTCTGTTCTGGCTTACTCTTGGAATTTTTAGAACATTTCTGAAAGAATGAAATGAAAAGAAATAGTGGGAAGAAAAAAAAGACACATTAATTTTTAACATTTAGTGGGAGCCCTTCAATGCATAATAAAGTCTTACCACATCTCTTAGAGTAGGAGTCTTAAACTGTTGTTGTTCCTTCAAGCCCATTGACTGATTCATAGAAGCAGGACCTCGCCTTATGCCTAACTGTAAGGAAAGAAAAGCAGAAGTTAGTTTGATTACACATTAAACACATTAAAATATTTCCAATACAAGTATGTTTTAAAACGTTTAATATTATACGTAATTATATGTACCTGTTTTGGCACTTTGAACAAACTGTGTCCTCCATTTTCCTGTACACGTAAGAGATCTGTGCTTGAGGTTTCTGGCCCCTTATGAGATGAAGATGGAGGAGGAAGTGACTTGGGGTCAGAATTTTGGCAGGACAAGTTAAGTACAAGATTCTCTACATTTTGACTAGAAAATTCCCGAAAACATCAGCAACATATCACACAATATGAAATGAGTGAATAAAATCTTCAGTTATGTTTCAAATCGTCTAAGCAACGACGTGTAATTCCTCTGAAAGGTTGTGTTTCCAAAGTGTTTACGTACCTTATTTTTAATAGAAACTTCAGGTACTTTTGGTTTTAAGCAAAGGTCCACTGCTTCTGATAGTACAACAGATGATGAAGGTGACAGATTTTGGCAAGATATATCATCGTCATTTAAGCCTTGACTAGAGTTTCCCTGTAGATATA